TGTATATAGGGCTACGTTATTAGAATGAGCCTATGTTGTGTTAACAATGTGTAATTAAATGTCCAGAAACATTCAATTCGATTTGCACTTAAGTATATCCTTAAGTCTATTACCTTCATATTAAGTACCCCCTTTTTTTTTTTTTTTTTTAAAGAACCCTATAGTGTAATTGTTTTTCACAAGGCTCTTTCTGGATCAAATCCTGCAGTTTGTCCCAAGGCCACCTGTTGCTTCATCACTGCCCAACAATTCATTTAATACTACCTGTGGAGGATTAGAAATCCCCATCGGCTTGGTGTTTGATCCCTGCCGCACGAATGCAGAAAATCCCCAGTGGAAGTCAAGTGCACTGGACCAGCTAAAATGACCCTCTAGTCCATAAGACGATCGTTACTCTTTGAGGAAAGCTGGATCAAAAAATAGCAAGTTCTGGAGACATATACACGGACCGGTTTTTATCGATACTGACACAAACAGAGCTACCTGCTGCTGAGACAGCCGTTCAATATAAGGCAGAACATCGTACTCACTGACAGCAACCACAATCACTGCCCAAAGTAAACAGTTGGTATTTATGCAGTGCAGCATTGCTCTTCGGCCAGCGTGTACTATGTCTGTTCTCACAGGTTTGCTGTAGTGTAAAATGCGCATCTGTCTGAAAAAGCACTTAGAATTGAAATCTATAGTGCTGGGGAAATATTTAAGAAGTTGCACTGTATAGATCAACACTGTAGTTTTGGAGACTAGGGCTTGGAGATAAAGCAAAAATATCGATACATCACGATATAAGTCACCTCACATGCTAATAACAATATACTGTATATCATGACAAGGTTTTTATTGTACATTTAATCAATTAATATATGTATATAACATGAAAAAGAACTGAAATGGAAAAATTAATTGGATAGACTAATAACTGGCCATAGTGTGTGGGTGTTTCTCAGCACACCCACAGTTATACTCTCTCAGTGCAGGGTTATGGCTGGAGGGGCATCTGCTGGGTAAAAACAATTGCCAGAGTAATTGGTGGTTCAATCCACTGTTGCAACCCTTCACAAAGCAAGGATTCAGCTTAAGCAACATGAATTATTGCTAAACAAAATGCTAAATGTCAACATTTTACTTTCATGTTTGCAACTTTCTCGCCCAGGCTATTATTCACGTTTCTGCCTAGCATGTAGGACTGTTCTCATTCAAATTATAAAGAGCATTACTGTAAACAATTTAATTTGGGACACCAAAAAATAAACGACAAAGCATAATATGAAATGATAGACTTTTCATTTTGCCATACAAAACATATCCGCTTGTTAAGTGTGACGTCACCTTAAAGCAGCTTCCAGATTCAATTGCTCTATCAAACTGTATGGGGAGGCTCAACAAATAGTAATAATAAATGTTTACAAAACGATATAAACGAAAATCACGAACACAATATATATATATATATATATATATATATATATATATATATATATATATATATATATATATATATATATATATATATATATATATATATATATATATATATATATATATATATATATATATATATATATATATATATATACTATTGCCAGAGTAATTGGTGGTTCATTCCACTGTGGCAACCCTTGATAAAGCAGGGGAATCAGCTTAAGAAAAGTGAATGAATATATACTCAAAAAATAAATTATACTCGCAACTTGAATTATTACTATTATAAACAAAATGCCAAATGGAAACATTACCTTCAAGTTTGCAACTTTCTCACCATGCTGTTATTCATGTGTCTGCATGACGTGTAAGAAATGTTATAATGTGTTCTCATCCAACTTAAAAAGAGCATAACTGTAAACAATGTATTTTGCGACACCAAATAAATGACAGAGCATAATATGAAATTATAGACTTTTTATTTTGCCATATACATTGCATATTCGCTTGTTAAGTGTGACGTCACGCAAAGTGGTTTCCAGATCCAAATGCTTTATCAAACTGTATGGGGAGACTCAACAAATGGTAATAATAAACATTTAGAAAGTACTGTAATACTTTCAAAAATCACAATTGCAATATATACTGAATGTCCAGAATATATCATATCAGATGACCAGAAGGTAATTAATATTTTATAAATTGTTAAAATATTGGTGTCTGTGATGCAGCAAGTCCAGACACTGTCGTGTACACCATGATTTTCTCTTTAATGTCATATGACTAAAAAGTTTGGACCCAGAAACAGTAATCCACAGTAAGTCCCGACTTAACAAGTGGATACTGTCTTAGTGCTGGGTTCTGGCTGAAATGGCATCTGCTGTGTAAAAACAATTGCCAGAGTAATTGTAGGTTCATTCAGCTGTGGCGACCCTTGATAAAGCAGAGAATAAGCTGAAGGAAAGTGAATGAGTATATACGCAAAACAAACAAACAAACAAAAAACTACATGCTGAACATGATTTATTGCGAAATAAAGACTATTCTCATCCAAATTCTAAACAGCACTAAGGTAAACTGTATTTTGTGACACCAAAAAATAAATGATAGAGCAAATTGTGAAATATGAGACTTTTTATTCGATCAATTATTTTTTTTCCGGCTTAGTCCCTTTATTTATCCAGGGTCGCCACAGTAGAATGAACCGCTAGCTTCTCCAGCACGTTTTTCGCAAGCGGATGCCCTTCCAGCTGCAACCCATCCCTGGGAAACATCCACACTCATACACTATGGACAATTTAGCCTATCTAATTCACATGTACCACATGTCTTTGGGCCAGGCATGTGCACACATAGGGCTCAACCTGTGCAGTGCACATGTCCTTTTTAGTCTTGGATAGAAAGTGCCCTTCCAAAATGATCAAAAGTGCCCCCGCAACATTTTTTATATACAATTCATATTGTCATATTGTACAGCCCTAAGGAAAACTGTCTTTCATAAACTTACAAAACCCACCAGCTCAGTATGGGACTGACATTTTGGCCCAATTGCAATATATATGATGCTCTCTGCTGTGAAGTGAAGTGTGGTTTACGCATGTGGTTCAAGGATAAATTTCTGATCAGGTCATTGGGGCCAGTGCTTTGGGGCCTCTGTTTACCATCTGAGAAGCTGTAGGTGGTTCGACATATGGAAACAAATAGCATGAATGTGCTTACAGTGTAATTACAATTTTGTTACTTCCTTCCTTTATTTTCTAACCCTTTGGACATTATTATTGAGACTGCAGGGGGCCTGCAGAAATAAACTTAACTAATGGTGCCCCAGAGCCTTACAGGACCATGACTTTTTCATGGAGTGAAGTATTGTTTTTGTGTTGTAACAGATGCTCCACCCTAACTCAATAGGGCTTTTCACATAGTGCTTAACCCTGTCATTCTACACTCTGTGTCAAGGTACATTTCATACAAAAAACGGTTTAGCAGATCTCCTTACCTAGATATATAAAACCCAGCACAGGAATAGTAATAGTAGCATCACCTTTATGTGTTGTAGGAAGTTGATTTCAAAATGTTTTCAGATGGTGACAGAAAACATGTGACATGGAGTGAAGAAGAATTTCGGTCTGATGTTCATAATCCGTTCATTATGGGGAATGCACAATGATAGAGATTTTATGAACACTGGTCACATGATGCGTTTATCCAATCAGTGGCAATGACACAAACAAAAATGTTAACCCCAGGGCGATAAATAATCAGTATTAATCAAGCGGCAACCTTGTGAAGCTAATATGGAAATAACTTAAAATGCAATTCATCTAAATTCTGCTAGTCCTGGCTCCACAATAGAGCATATTTCTATTGACCCCACTGTTAAAATGGCCACCTTTACAGCAGAAAGGAGTTTACAACCTGGTACAAAGAACAATTTTGATTAATATAGCTAATATTACTCTTCATGACAACTGTGAGGGGGGTGAATTTTTTTTTAGAACTCATCCGTTTCATTTATATTAAGTTATATTAAGTCTGCATAATAAAGGGCGGGGCCACTTGAGTGACAGCTAGGTCTCGCTGGTCACCGTCATGTGACCTCAGCTGATTCTAGCTGATTAGCTGCTGCACTCGGCATATACATTGTATTTTTGTTTTGTTTTATGTAGCTTTATACAGTCAACTGCCTTTTGGAATTATTTCCTACAATAATCAGATGTGGCAGGCTGTGTGCACTTATTTGTGCTCACAAAACATGTAGCCTCCATTTTCCAGGTGAGTGACATTAAATGCTTATATACCATCTCTATAAAAGTATTTGTTTGATTTAAGATCATTCATCATTTATATTTTTCTTTAGAACTGTAATGCACTTCGGAATCTGACAGATTGATTAGCTGTAGGCTCTAGAACAGTGTTGTCATACAGTGTTACGCCTGGATTTCATAAATAGCCTTACATTTACTAACACAGACTATATCTGAAGTGTTTGGAAGTAGTTTGCCTTTTCCTCCAGTAGAAAAATGTCATAAGAAAAATGCTTAGCAGCTGGGACTTGAGCCAGCTACCTTCTTGCTGTGAGGCAATAGTGCTAACCACTGAGCCACCATCTCTTTTTTTAAACAAACATAATTCAATAAATAATTAACCCAAAATGCAACAATATGTATTCTACTCCATTTTACTACAACCCTGCAGATTTGGTGTAACGTTATTATTACAATTAATCCATCAAGTTACAGTGACGTGTTAATCTGCTGTGGGTAACACACCTTCACATGATGCGATTTCATAGGTCAGAGTTCACCAACTTTGGAATGCAACCAAATGCAAAATAGCTTCACACAAACCTGAATAGGAGTCAACAGAACCAAAAGTTCTAGAACCCAGGTAAATAATGAGCAGTGAAACACGGTTCAACATAACACAGGATTCAGATTACCCAGGGTTTAGAACGGCCGATGGTAACTTTGGTTTAAAAGCCCTTTTGTAATTTCTAAAGCTGTCTGAGAAATACAAAAAGAGTGGACAGGTACACCAATGAAGGCAGACATTCAACATGAAGAAAACTTGACTTGTACCTGCCGGAGGGTCTTGAGCATCTCTGTTGCCTCATCGTGTTTGCCCTGCCTCGCCATCAGCATCATCTCTTGTATCATCCCGATGCGCCGCTGGTAGGGAGGAGGAGTCCCGCTGCTCCTCAGTTTGTCTCCTGACCTCAGCATTAAGGAGGTAAGGATGTCACTTCGCTCTTTCGTGGGGGTCCGTTTCCATCCTGTGCACTGAGGACTTGCTCCTGCCTCCTGGCCCCCAGCTTTTGTTTGCTTCGCTCCCATGTTTGGTTATAGAGTCTCACCCTGGAAAAGGGCCTCCAGTCTGGGCATGCTCTCAAATTGCATTCACATTAAATGATTAAAAGTCCTTGACACTCTATGTGAGATTACATATAGTAAGAAACAAATGAAAATAAGAAAGGGTTTTAAGTTTATTGTTAAACAATTTTTAAGTCCTTCTGCTCACCTCACGCCTGCCATATCACAACATGACAGAGAAAATAAATATTTACATTGGGATCAACGTGAATTTCTCGTAATAAAATTTTGCATTTTTACATTTCGTTAAAATATATTCAGAAAGTGCTCAGAGGGTGCGATTTATGGAGGTGGTTTGGAAAGATGAACAACCTCTTTAATTAAGGCATAAACTCCCCAAAATAAAGTTGGGGGTCTTAAATATACATTATTTCAATGCATAACCTTTAATGCATTACACAGCGTTTTAACAACAGCGTGTCGAAGTTAAATTACAAATGTACACGCTCAAAAATCGCTTCTACAATGGTAACCGTAGCAACAGCTGCTCGAACGATGTTTGAATCAACAAAACACTGTAAAGTCGATATCAATTTATCATAATAAGCACATCACACAGTCTAAATTACTAAAATATTTTTTCTTTACTTAAATTGTCTCGAAGACTTTTAACTTCGCCAGGGCTGACAAAAGCTTAAGAAGATAAATTAATTTCACGAAACAATTTATTTAAAAAAAAAATAACTTGAAAAGTTAAACTCACTAAAATCACTGAACAATTTGCACATTGCACGCCTAATTATCCAACAAATCTGCAATAAGGATGCGGTTATTGTTTACCACGCACGACGTCCAACTTTTACACCACAGCCAACTCGTTCGTTAGTTGTTTACGCTTTTTATGAAACGTCTGAACGCGAAATAGTATTTAGATATTTCTCATAAGACGTCAAAACATTTGAAAGACTGCGTGTTTAAAGTCGAAGTACTCGTATTTCAGTCCAATTGGGTCAGAGCTGCATAATTGATCTCTTCAGTTAAAAACTCCAGTAATCCTCGATTCCCTCAGGTAGGGAATAAATCTGATGATGCCTGCGGCATGACCGCAGATTAAAGAAGAGCAGTCCCGCAAACCTCCAGAAACTCTCAGTCCAGTTCAGCAGAATTACAAAACGATTTTTAGGAAAGGTTGGTTCGATTTTTCGCCCGTATTTTTATTTTAGCATTTGTTTGAGCGTGTTAACATCGCAGTTTCTCCGCATTCTCATGACGTGCGTCTCTGTGTGAGTTTAGTCGACGGCGAGCGGTCCTGCTGTGAACAAGGGCATGTAAATATTTACGTCGTCCGTCACTGTTTTCCTCCGCGCACAAGTCATCCGAGTATTTCCTTTCACGCAGCTCAGAGAAATGCCTCTGTTGGCTGATGAAATGTGCGGTGTCGGATTAATTCTCGCTTTGATGTGACCCCTCTCTCCCTCCAGGTGTGTCCCGTCTGAGGGCAGGGTGTGTTCAGAGAAGCGCGGCTGCTTGGGCTCTCATCATCAGTCGGATGGAGCGGAGAGGCGCTGGGTCTCGACACAGGCTGTGCGGGAGGGGTGGAGCGGTCTGCAACATCCTCCACTTGTGTTTCAGTCTACAGGCGAGAATGCACCACTGCCAGGATACACCTAACCAAGTGGAGCAGACTGGGACTTATCCAGTTCTACACTTCATGTGGTATTTCAACGCTTTTAAGCCCATTAAAGATACAAGCATTCGGACAATCCCATATCCAATATACGCGGGGTCACAGACTATACTTAAGTGATTTTTTAATCGTCCACTACGATAATAGTTGGCATTTCTTTGCTGACATCTGGTGTTTAACACATGGCATGTCATCTGCTGCACTTTCTCAAAGATGGAAAATTTGGTGTTGAAAAAAAGTTAGAAAACACTTAAAGGGACAGTTTGCCAAATAATAGAGTTAGTTAATTATTAAATCCAAGAGGTAGTGATTTTTATTCTACAGTAAGCATCAAAAAATAATTTTCGTGATTTATTAAATGTAATGCTAACTGCAATGTAAGTTGTAAGTTTCAAAAGAAAAAGAAAAAAAAAACACACACACACACACACACACACACACACACACACAAAAATATATATAGTCATTTTATGAAACATTGATAAATATATATATCATGTGACAAGAAGTTTTCACTCCAAATTGTCATAAACATGCTCAGGTGGTTGCTGAAGCTTTGGATTTAAAATAATGTTCAGTTTTTTTAGACAGACCAAAATAATATTAATAATAATAATAATAATAATAAAAACTTAATGTATTGTCTGGAGCCGCAAGGGCTAGTAGCTGTTAAAACTAAATTTTACCCAAGAATAACAAGAGAAATAACATTTAAAAACTGAATTTTAATTTACTTTAACTTATAAGGAATAAAACTGAAAAAATATGAAAATGTGTAACTGAATTGTCATCATTACTTTATAGACCTGTTTTTGATTTGTTTTCTTGCTAAAGCTGCCATTTTGAAACCACATTAATATAGAAACAGGAATCTGGAAATGTCATTTTATTTATGCTTTTACAAACATATTTACAGTGAACAGTAAAGCAGTTCATCATCCAACAGTTTAATCAAAATCCATGATGAAAAGTTGGTGTGAAGGTGATCTCTAATACGGTTTCGTCCCACTTGGCTTTCTTAGTCAAACCACATTTCACTGGCTGACTTTGGGATAGCCTTAGTGTAATCTTTGCAGCAAGCCTTTAATTAGTCTAATTAGGCATTTGGAGAAAACATTCAATGTATATACACTGAAATCTTTCTCCAGAATATAAGGAATTAACTAAATGGGGGTTTGAACTTAGGGATAAATTGCAATATGCTTAATTAACACTAATAAGCTTATTCAGTTGTTCAACACAGCCGTCCAAATAAATAGAAAACAACAAATCATATTCAAATTCTTTCAGCACGGCCTTTCTCTGTGCAAGGGTTTGAGAGGATCTGTCCATGTTCCCTTCACACTCTTGCTCACTACTTAATAAGATCAACCCTCATTGCAACTTGCTATGCCTTTTCTTTTTAAGATATGCGGTTGTTTCAAATCCCCCGTGCTGCAGTCAGAGTCTGGAGGACGCTTAGCTAAAAACCATTGTATATTTAAGGAACAGTGATAAGGAAGGTAAAACATGGATCTCCAAGGGAACAGCCTGTAGGGACGCTGAGCCAATCCGTGACGGTAGGCTTACTACAAGGGATAGCCAGTAGGGGGAGCTTTGTCATACTTATTGCTTTCTAATGAAAAAGGTGGAATGCGCACGTCAAAGTGTGAGCCATCTGTCCTCTCAAAGCAGAACGTCCCCCTAAAGGAAACAAAACATGACATGCATGCGTCATCTTTGCAACACAAAATAACTCAGTGACATTCGTTCATTTTCTTTTCGGCTTAGTCCCTTTATCAATCTGGGGTCACCACAGTGGAATGAACCGCCAACTTATCCAGCACATGTTTTACGCAGCGGATGCCCTTCCAGCTTCAACCCATCTCTGGGAAACATCCAAACACACTCATTCACTAGAGACAATTTAGCCTACCCAATTCACCTGTACCGCATGTCTTTGGACTTGAGGGGGAAACCGGAGCACCCAGAGGAAACCTACGCGAATACGGAGAGAACATGCAAACTCCACACAGAAACGCTAACTGACCGAGATTAAATGTTTAAAAACCATTTTAAATGTATTTCAGTTCCCCTCACTCCACAAGAATCTTACAAATATTAAAACAGAACATGGAACTAATAAAAAAAAAAGTTTTAACGGGCATAGACACAATATTATTCAGATCTTTCTGATATTGCGTTTTTTAGCTCATGCAATTTACATGTTTAGTAATATAATATTAAAATATTACAAATAAGAAACGCAGTGGCGCAGTAGGTAGCGCTGTCATCTTACAGCCAGAAGGTCGCTGGTTTGAGCCTCGGCTGGGTTAGTTGGCGTTTCTGTGTAGAGTTTCCATGTTCTCCATGTGTTTGCGTGGGTTTCCTCCGGGTGCTCCGGTTTCTCCAAGTCCAAAGACATGTGGTATAGGTGTATTAGGTATGCTAAAACTGACCATAGCGCATGTGTGTGAATGAGTGTGTATGGATGTTTCCCAGTGATGGGTTGCAGCTGGAAGGGCATCAGCTGCGTAAAACATATGCAGGATAAGTTGGTGGTTCATTCCATTGTTGCAACCCCAGATTAATAAAGAGACTAAGCCGGAAAGAAAATGAATAATATAACTAATAAAACAGTTTTAGCTTGATTATCAATTTGCATGTATTTTATAAAGATTAAGAGAATTATGAATCCTTTACCTCAGATTTAGAAAAAAGGTCAGATGTTTGTACTGATTGTGTAGCTGCTAAGTGCTCTCCCATTAGTTTTTACAAACTTTACATTTATCTTATCTGTCACCTACTTTCTGAAGTGGCCAGTGTGAAGTCAAAGCTCTTAAAATTTATATTATCCTGGCATTTATTTATTGCTAAATCAGCAACTTATGACTATCTCATGGCAAAATAGAGATACATAAGAATATCACATGATAAAAAACAAATCACATGATTAAAAACAAAATTTTACTTGGACAAACATATAAATAGAAATAAATAAATAAAATTCACACAAAAATATATTCAAAGTTAAATATGATTTTTCAGTTAAATTAAAATATTTATTTATATTTATTATAATATATATATATATTTAAAATACTAAATAAGATATTTTTATTTTAAGATTCTTCCTGGTGGTGCCTTTTTAAAAATGTCCATTAAAGTACTCTCCTTATAAATTTTTTGGCTAATGGTATTCAGACTTCCAAATTCCAACAGAATATGTTTCATGGTAAGAGCAGCTTGGCAGTAATTACGTTTAGGTGGTGCTTCGTTATTCAGTATATACAAATGAGTCAACCTAAAATGTCCAATTCATATTATACTGGCATAATAGCCTTAGTTAACTGGTACAGTCTGGTGACTAAATTTGAATTAGTGACTGCTAAAAAAAATTAAGCTGAAAAATAGACTAACCATAACAAAACAGCATGATATATACAGTACAAAAAGACATTTCGATAAATGAAAAACAAAGACAAATTAACAATAATAATAAACAAATGAAAATTCCCTGACTCTTAATTTCTGGAATAGAAATGATATTCCAGAAATCCCATGACCTGTGATAACCCTGTTCAAACAACCCGTAACCCGTGACAAACAATGCAATGATGTTATTCATGGAGACAATCCTTTTATGCAAGGGATCACTTATTTTTCATCAAATGAAAAGCTTGATAATGAAACATTTGTTCTGGTGACTGAAATCACATCCCTGTATTTTGCATTGCATACAATAGTTAACAGCACATTTATGATTTGTAATAAATTAAAGCATTCACAAACCTGTAAATCAGCAAATAAAAACATCAATTGAAAGACATATTTTAAAAATCTAGTTTTATTAATGATTATGATTTTTAGTGGTTCAATATAGTCACTATTAAAGTTAAATATGTTTACTTGGAGTTAACTAACAGCTGTGCAGATTCTCCCATTAAGTTTGTTTAGTTGTCCATGCACATTTTACCCTGATTTTGTGTACATGCCACATTTATAAGTGAGAACCCTGGAGAGCAGCAGCTTTCTTTCTCTGCTCTGATAGCTACTAAACTACACAAAAAGTGTAGTTTTTTTTTTTTACCTTACAACCCACTAACAATAGGCCTTTCAAATTAAGGTGAGTTTGAATGCTAAATTCTTGTTGTTTGTAACATGTAAGAGCTTGTTGTTTCCTAACAAGACAATGACTGCAGTTTTTAAAGGGATAGCTTGTTTTAAAAATGTTTTTTGTTTAAATCTCAAAGTGATGGTGCCCACTGATTTCCATTATGTGGATTCTAGAAGTTGGACAAAGGACAATGTTCCTGGTTATAATCTTCCTAATAGTCAATCGAAGATATTCTACTGAGGGTGAGTAAATTAACTGGAAATTTTCATTTTACTGTGAAGACTCTCTTTAAATAAGATGTGTTTTCATCTAAAAGGTCAGAATTGACAAAGGAATGTTCTTTTTTTTTTTTTGCATCGTATTGTGATTTACATATCACAGCAACACCCTACATCAAAGACATTGTGCCAAAAACAGAATATTGTGTAGTCTAAACCCCACATTATTCAAAATCTAAGCTAATTTCTTCTATTAATGCTTCTATTAAACATTAAGCTAGAATAACGCATTTATGTCAACATGTTGATAATCTCACCACATGTGTCCACTGGGTGCTTGAAGTGAAACATGACTGCTGTACTGAAACGCCGGCTGTTCTCTTGACAAAACAGGCTCCTGGTGAGATAATGATGAGTTAACATTTAGCAAACAAATCTCATTTCCGTAGTCTTGAATTCTAGATTATGCTTTTGCTAATTAATTGTTCACCTTGCCAACCACTCCTCTTCCACGGACTGTTTCCAGAGTCCCAGAGAGACTGAAGATCCTCCAATGTCTTTCCCTGAGCTGAACCACCTCATTGCCCAGGTTCTCCAGACGGATGCAATAACGCCACTGCGGAAAACATCAACATATTATCTTCAACAGGTCACCGATGGCCAGCCTATAAATAGCCCTTTTATTTAGTCATTACAAATGCCATAATCAGGTAATTTTGCTTACCCAATACACATGGGAGTTTTGAGCTTCCTGTAGACATACAAAAACAAACATAAATCAAGACCATGTTCATTTTAAAATTAAAGTACAGTAAATAAATATACAGAATGTATGTATTCGATGATGCATTTAATTGATCAAAAACTATAGTACATATTTAAATTCAAACAAAATATTTCTTTTAAATAATATATTTTGTATTAAATTTTCTATTCATCACATTTTTTGAAAATACATAAAGTAAACAGTATAATTAATAATATTAAAGAGTGTCTATTATGGGTTTTTGATAATA